CACTGTTTTCAAATGCGATGGTTGTGTTGTTTCATATGCAAGTGTTAAAAAAAAACTTAAACCAGTCAAGGAAACACCTGAGCACACAGCCGATGATTACCGAAGACTGATGATGTTACTCCAGAGACCGGGCACAGGCAAGAATGTGTCTCCACAGGCAGGAATGTGTCTCCACAGGCACAAGTGTGTCTCCACAGGCACGAGTGTGTCTCCACAGGAAAGAGGGTGTCTCCATAGGCAGGAATGTGTCTCCATAGGCATGAGTGTGTATCCACAGGCAAGAGTGTGTCTCCACAGGCATGAGTGTGTCTCCACAGGCAGGAATTTGTATCCACAGGCAGGAGTGTGCATCCACAGACACAAGTGTGTATCTACAGCAAAGGAGGTGGGTTGGCAGGGCTTGGGAATGACAAATAGTGCAATCCACGTTACTGTGAAGTGTTGTCTCTGCAGTCCAGATATTGAACTGTTAGCAGTAAGTTGTTGTCCATATTATTTGCCAATAGAGTTCACCAAGTGTTATTTTGGCAACTGTTTACATTCCACCCAATGCTGTTGCAGAGACTGTGTGTGTTGTCATCAGTTCCGAGGTTGCTAAGCTACAGACACAACACCCTAGTGCGTTTGTGGCAATATCTGGGGATTTTAGTCATGTCTCACATTCTGCTACACTTCCGACATTCCAACAGTTTGTCAGCTGCTTTACCAGAGAAAACAAAATGCTGGACTTGTTTATACAAATGTCAAGGATTCATACATCTGGGCAGCTGTGGCTGAATGGTTAGAGCAGTCATCCTCCAATGCAAGAGTTGGGGGTTCGAATCCACCAGCAGTCACATGCCGAAGTGTCTCTGGGCAAGACACTGAAACCCTCATTGCCTCCGATGCATGTCCCATAGGTGTATGAATGTGATAAAGCTCTGATTAGTCGCTTTATAATGATTTGTTCAATTAGCTTCGTAGAGATCTAGTAGAGTGCTGTATGAATGAGTAAATGAGGGCACAGATTGTAGTGTAAAGCACTTTGAGTGTCTTCATAAGATAGAAAGGCGCTATATAAGTATAGTCCATTTACCATACATTTAAAATTTATACATTACTTTTTTTTTTTTTAGATCTAAAAAAAATTATACATTACTAAAGCAAGATCCTCTCTTGGCAAATCAGATCAAAATTTTGTGTTTCTCTGCTCAAAATATAAACCCCTTGTTCAGAGGCAATCTGCTACAAAGAGAACAGTGTGAAAATGTTCAACGGAAGCTGAAGAAGCCCTGCTGGGTTGTTTTGAGGCTACAGACTGGGATGCACTGTGCCAGCCACATGGAGAGGACATCAATGCCATGACTGAGTGTGTGACCGACTATATAAACTTCTGTGTAAACAACACCATCCCCACCGGAACAGTGATATGCTCCCCAATAAGAAACCCTGGATCACCACTGACCTGAAGGAACTGCTAAACCAGAAAAAAGAGCCTTCAGGGAGGGAGACAGGGAATTATTGAGGAGTACACAGAAGCAACTATAAATCAAGATAAGAAACAGCAAGGAGGTGTACAAGAAGAAGCTGGAGAGCAAGCTCCAGCAGAACAATATCAGAGAGGTGTGGTCAGGGATAAAACAGATCACAGGCTTTAAGCAGGAGGATCAGAAAGATGGAAGCCTGGAGAGAGCCAATGAACTAAACATATTTTTCAATAGGTTCAGTTCAGGAACAAGCTCAGCAGCCTCTTCTCTTGCCAACAGCCAAACAGATATACCACCCTCCTTTAATCCAAGGCTGTCCTGTCACACCTCAAATACTGTATCTACCACCTCAGTCATGGAACCTTCTTCTTCTACATGTTGGTCTTCAACTAACTTCCTTTGCCTCCCCCCACTGTGTTTCTAGAAGTCAGGTGAGGAAGCAGCTGGAGAGACTGAACCGGAAAAAGGCTGCTGGTCCAGATGGTGTCAGTCCCAGAGTCCTGAAGGTCTGTGCAGAGCACCTCTGTGGGGTTCTGCAGCACCTATTCAACCTTAGCCTGACCCAGGAGAAGGTTCCAGTGTTGTGGAAAACCTCCTGCCTTGTTCCAGTACCAAAGAAAACTCACCCATCAGTCCTCAATGACTATGGACCTGTTGCCCTGACATCCCACATCATAAAGGTCCTAGAGAGACTTCTGCTGACCCACCTGACTAAACAAACGAGCACATATCAGGACCCACTGCAGTTTGCTTATCGGCATGAACTTGGAATTGAAGATACCATCATACCCCTGCTTCAGCAAACTCACTGTCATCTTGAAAAAGCAGACAGCTCTGTGAGAGTCATGTTCTTTGATTTATCCAGTACATTTAACACAATCCAGCCTTATTTACTTTGTCAGAAACTCCAGAAGACTCAGATGGAGACCTCAACAATCACCTGGATCAAAGACAACCTGACAAACAGACCACAGTTTGTGAGACTGAAGGGTTGTGTGTCTAACCAGTAGCTCAGTAGCACCACAGGGGACTGTACTCTCACCATTCCTTTTCACTCTGTACACTTCAGATTTTCAGTACAAAACAGACTCCTGTCATCTACAGAAATATTCAGATGACTCTGCAGTGGTCGGGTGTATCAGAGATGGGCAAGAAGCTGAGTACAGGGAACTGGTGGACCGCTTTGTGGCATGGTGTGGAAACAATCATCTCATCTTGAATGTGAACAAAACAAAGGAGATAATTGTAGATTTCAGGAGAAACAAGAACAGGTCCAACTTTATTTCAATCATGGGAGAAGGTCGAGGTGGTGGAGAAATACAAATAACTTGGAGTTCACCTGGACAACAGACTGGACTGGAAATACAACAGTGAAGCGTCTACAAGAAGGGACAGAGCAGACTGTACTACTTGAGGAAGCTGAAGTTCTTCATTGTTTGCAGCATGAAGCTCCATATCTTATACAGGTCTGTTGTAGAGAGCACTGTCTATTCTGCCATCATCTGCTGGGGGAGCAGCACCAGAGCAAATGACTGAAAAAAGACCAACAAGCTATTAAAGAAGGCTTACTGAGTTCTGGGGACTCGTCTACAACCTTTGGAGATGATTATGCAAAGAAAGATTCTTTATAAAATGAAGAACAGTATAGACAACCCTCAGCATCCTTTTCATCAGACTGTCATACAACAACAGAGTGTCTTCAGTCAGAGGTTTCTACAGATCCATTGTAAGACAGACCACTACAAGAGATACTTCCTGCCGACAGCCATCAGCATCTAGAACAACTCTTTAATGAAACCAGGATGATGAGTAACAACAACATTTAATTTTCCTCTGGGATTAATAAAATATTTTTAATTGAATTGAATCTAGAGGCAAGAGTGTGTATTCATAGGCAGTAGTTTGTATCCACATGCAAGAGTGTGTCTCCACATGCAGGAATGTGTCTCCACAGGCAAGAATGTGTATCCACAGGCAAGAATGTGTATCCACAGGTAGGAATGTGTATCCACGGGCAGGACTGTGTATCAATAGGCAGGAGTGTATCCACAGGCATGTATCCACAGGCAGGAGTGCGTATCCACAGGCAGGAGTGTGTATCCACAGGC